TCTCACCTCCTGCAAGGACACAAACCCACCCTGCTCTACCCCGCAGGCCGACGGGCAGGGGTGTCCAGGGAGGCGCCCAGAGGCCCCTGGCTTTCCCTGTCCGGCCCTCTTTGTGCAGGAGTGGAAACTGAGGCCCGGGAGGCAGAGAGCATATCTCAGGCAGCTCGGACCCAAAGTCAGAATTCTACTCAGTCACAACCATGCATCCACAGCCCCGTCTTCTTCTCACAGAAGGGAGTGTAAGTAGCCCTTCGGGGGGAGTCTCAAGTTTGTGCAGCAGCTAAGCCAAGCCAGTGGACACCCCAAATCAGTTCTGTCCCATCAGCAATGGGGTGCATTATCAACGTGCTACATCTTCATGGTCATTATTTGTAGGGAAAGAGCCACAGGCCCCACTGGGGTGTCTCCAGCAAGAGCCGGGGAGCTTGAACGGTCCACATTCTATGGACAAGAAAGCGGGGTAGGTGCAGCCAGGGAGCTTGGGGCTACTCGTGGTCACAGAGCTGGGTGCTCAAGCTGGCCACCTGCCCCCGCCTCCAGCCCTGGCTTTGGAGGGCCCCTGGTGGAGGAGCTCCCGGTACCCCCCACCGCTCTGCAGAGCAACGGTCCAGGCTCCTGGCTCGCGGGCTCCCCCTGCTGTTCCGAGGCCATCCGGTCACCCAGGCTCTCAGCCGCCTGCTCTGCATCCCAGATGGAGTAGCCCCCACTGACCACAGACCACTGACCGCGGGAGAAGAAATGACAAAGATTACAATCAAGGAACTCGACGCCTGGAAGGAGGGGGGCCAGCTGAGGAGACTGGGGGAAGGAATCCCCTCCCGAGTCTCCTGTGGAGGTGACATCTGGGGCACTGGGGTTGACGAGGCCGTGCCCCATCCCTCACCAAGGCCACTTAGGCTGGTGGCATCTGCTTCTCAAGGATGCTGAGAAGCATTCTCAAGGATCAGACAGCTCACAAGCAGGTCCTCAGTCCCGGAGCACAGTAAAGGCCAGCAGCACCCCCAATCTGTTCGTCCACACTTTCCAGAAGCCAGTTCCCTCCCCCTCCACAAACACCCACGCCACACAGGGCTTCCCGACTTGTCAGGAGACACCCCACACGGCAGCGGCAGCGGCAGCGGCAGCGGCAGTCTGGGCCCTCCTGACCCTACAACTACTAGGGGCACTGTAGGGTCCCCCGTCCCGGGATGCAAAAAAAAGACTCAGAAGAGGGGCAGGCCAAGGTTCCCCATTCACCGCTCCCTCATGCTCTGGGAGTGGCGCTGGGAATAGGCCAGGTATCTGGGAGGAACTAAGTGTTCTCTATGCCTTGATTGACCTCTTGGGGGTACAGAGCGCTCCTCCTACATTCAGAGAGGCCACCCTGTCCCCTGCCCCCACTCTCCGCCCTCCAGGCTCTCGTTGTCCCCAGCAGTTTCCAGAGAGATCACCTGACAAATATCCCTGAAAGTCCCCATGGAACAATCTGAGGGGGAGGGAGAGGCAGGGAGGCCCTGGGTACCTGTGGAGGCCGCTCCCCCAGAGCCCGAACGCCTTAGAGAAAATCCCACCCCCAAGCCCCAGCGGCAGGCTCCTCTCCACATGACCCTGCTGGCGGCCCCTCTGGCTGCCACTGCAGCAGGAAGTGGGGTCCCCTTCTCTCCTCTCCCAAGCCCCCCACCCGCTGCCCTCCAGCTGTGCTGAGAAACGGCAGCCCCCCTCCCACCACCACGGCCTGCCCTCAGGTCACTGGGCACAAAGGTCGCGGTACCAGCCGACGGCCGGTGACCCCCGCATGACCACCCTGTCTGCGCTCAGACACCTTCCTGGCCACCTTAGCTTTTAAAACTGGGGCCTCCGCGCACCCCGCAGCCCCGCCGCTCTGCCCCCCACTGCACACTGGCTGCCCAACCAGCCCCTGCTCCCCCAGCCTGCGGCGCGTCCTTCCACAGGGCCAAGGCCAGGCGCCACACTGGCCACTGGCCCAGGCTGTGGCCCCTCCTGCCCACCCCCCATGCCCTGGACACCCCCAGCCCCT